TTCCCCTTAAGTGAATGTGTGTCAGTCTGAATTGACGCTGTTTGGTGTCAGTCTGAATTGACGCTGTTTGGCATCACAACGCTGTTATGAAAGTTTCTCTGGTATAACATGGGTGATGTTAGCATAGCAACCGAAGCTAAACTGACTACTTGCTAAGCAGTTTTCTACAGGCACTTTTTACCGACGTATTTTTCATTATGATTCTACTTGTGATAGTCGGACATGACAACCTGTGCAGCCCATGTATTGATTCCATCCGATAGCTGCTATAATAACAAACAAAACGTCTGCCTGCTCTCCACAATGATCAATAACAGCGAACGGATGGTCAAAGTAAGGTACAAATAAACAGAATCACACGAAGCCTGGTTAGTGTTGCCTGACTTTATAAAGTGTGTTTTTTTTAACAAGTGTGTGGTTGCGTTCTAGTCACTTTGCTCAGCACTACTGCTTGTTACAACCTTTATTTGCCGTACTCGCCTTAACTGTTAGCTCAGGTTAATCTCGCCCCCCTCCGACGTAAGCGTGACGTATGCGGTTCTTGCTTCTAGACGGACAACTTTTTGGTGCTCGAAACGAACCGGATTCCGGAGCTATGACGCTGCTCTGCTGCGGTGTGAACAGGAAAACCCGGTGCTTTTCAAGCACCAGCACCGAACCGGCCCTGAAACACCGTTGGTGTGAAAGGGGTATAAGAGAACTCCCCCCTTTAACTCAAAAATGGTTTGTCCCAATACCATGTCACCAGCATCACATGATGCCATGTTCCTCTTTGGCAGACATTTTGAACACACTGTGGTGATTGTCCTCTAATTTTTTACAATATTTTATGTATAATAGCACATGGTCAATTAATATACTCATTGACAATCAACAATGTTACGTACATTGTTATGGTTTACAATTGTTTAATGATTTTAATTCAATTAAATGACATGTGGTCATCCAAGCAAGGCCTACCATTGAAATGATGGGTCAAAATAGGGAAATTGTCAACTAAGTTACCTGTCAACTGAGTTACCCAGTACTGTAATAACTGTAGTAACTTAGTTGACAGGTAACCTAGTTGACAATTTGTAGGACATGTAGACGTCATTACACATCATTATCAATGGAATTTTGCACTTCTGCCTTGAAATTAACATAGTGCTGATGGTTAATAATGTGTCCAGTCAACTATGTTATTTGCGTCAAATGTTTGACTTTCATTGTCAACTATGTTGCACCTCATTTTTTCAAATTTAAAATATCTAAAATAGTGCTTCTGATATCCTTTATAGTATAATGTATATCTACACAGGTTGGAGTTTTACATGACATCTCTTAAAACTATCAAAATGACCTGTATGGTAGTTTTATAATACAAAATATCCCTAAACTTAATGACAGTGCTGAACATATCACATGAAAAAACAAAACTTTAATACAATTATTTTTTAAACTTTAAAAAATCTTTGGATATATGGTAGAATAGACTCAAGAGCCTTTCAAATGTGATTTTACTTGAAGTGCAGGACTTAATCAAATGATTGTAATGACATCAAGTTTGTCCGTAACATAGTTGACAAACTGAGTAGTGAAAACATCCTTTCCCTTAAAATAAAATAAAATAAAAAAATGTTTAAGCTTTGCAACTAGTGGATATGTTACACTGAGGAATATATTAACTTGAACCACTGATTGTTCTATTGAGAAAGAACACTTTCTTTGTACTGTTTTGTTGATGTGAAATGCACCCTAAATTATAGAATCACTCGTATAATTGTAGGTTAATTTTCTCGGATCAGTATATAAATTCAAAGACTGAAAAACATTCTTTATATTTCAACTGTAATGTACAGATCATCTACAGTCTCTTACAGTTCATGTGATCTTCTTGTGTGTACAAGGTATATCTCGAGGGAAGAAGTAATTATCTTGTGTGCAAAAGATAAAGAAAATATTACCTAGAGGCACTCAAGTGCTGTAAGGTGATATTCTTTGAGCTTGTGAGCACAAGATAATATAATTTGTTCTAATAAGATCCTTAACTTGTGTGCACAAGAAGTCCTATTGGGAATGATGAAGCTCCGTAGCTCTGTATGCATGTATAATCACACAGATGCACCACAAAGAAAAGACTACATCTTCATGGTCCCATTGGAGAACATGGAGAAGTTAAAAAGGGAGCTGGGGTCCTGTGGCTGCAACACAATTAAGTCTCTCTCGTCTTTTATCACCACCCTGATCATTATGTTTAATCATCTACATCCTCTACTCCTCCTTGCTCTGTCTCCTTTGGATTGCATGTTTGAAATGAGTTGTTTGGAGCAATACAATCCTCTGTTCTGTTCAGGCCTGAAGCTCCAGAGAGGAACTAAAGGGAAGAACATTTTGTCCCCATACAGAAACTGTAGACACAAATCCAGACATTGTTGGTTTTATCCGTTTCTTCGCGATAGTTTCCCCATACTTTCCATCAGTCTGTCCAGACAAGCTGTTGATAGAAGTGGATAAACCCTGCTTCACGGGCAAAGATGATGTCTCATGTAGCCGCAAAGTTCTTGGCTTGAGTCCAGATGGAGAACCCCGCCTGCACGTCATCCCCCACTTTCTATTTGCCAAGCTTCTGAATTGAGACAAACATGCCTTAAAAGTACATTTCAGTAGGAATTGAATCTTGAAGTTAAATATAACTGGATTAGCTTAACCCCTTTCCTACCTCTCTTTAGACACAACACGTGGGTTTTTAAACTGTGCTCTGTAAATCACCAAAATGCTGTATTGTGGATTTAAAGATTTAATGAGAGTTGAATTACAATTTGGCATTTATGGGTGGTTCAGCTTTGCGTGTTGGGTGGTAATGATGTTGACAAAAAGAAACAAAGAGCTAAAGAACTTAACACACTTAGCCACAAAATGCCAATAAAGTTTTTCATGCTGATAAAAATCCTCACTGTTACATTGCTTAAGATGTATTAAGTATTTATTTATTTTCTACCGATGTACAGCTGCCATCAGAGCCACAAACAGCGCCACAATTAAGTAGTTCTTAGTTTCTTCTGATCATTAAAAGCCTTCTTGAAAGACCCTCATACTTCACACTCTATGTTCTTCGTGTGCAGAAAGGCTCATAAGTGTTCACTAATAATCTTACTGCATTGGAAGCATAATGCGTTATAAACTCTTATGTAAACATCGGAATACTTTATAACAGTTGGGCCACAGTAGTGGAAAGTATATAGGCTTTGACGTGGCTGCTGAAATAAAATTAATTGCCTGAGTGAGTATAACAGTGTGGTGTCAGAGGCTGATTACTGAGGCCTTATGTGTGTGTTTATGTGTCCATGATAAATGTCTCTGCCATGGATACTTTGCAATTAAAACAAAAAATACCCTGACTGATCTGCTTTAGATGTACAGTGTGTTTTTATTTCTGGCAGCACTGACTGCAGGGCGGGGAGATAAGTCTCATAACTGATGGGGCTCTTCCTCTGAAAGTGAAACCACCTTAAGAAGCCAATTTTCTCCACAAAGAACGCCCCACCTCTGGATTGAATTTCTCCAGTGAGCATGTGTGGGTGATTTTGGTAAGGGTCCCTAAAATTAGGAGCAGACAGTTGTTGTGCAAACATAAGCAAGACATTAAGGAAAGGAAAGGGTGGGAAATGAAGCACAAGAATGCCAGCTGGAAAGCAACAGGGTCTCCAGAACGTTGAAAACATCATCCGCCGGAGATGCTTGTGTTTTTTATATCTTGCATTCTTCAAATCTGAACTTTGATAATGAAGCTGCTTCGAGTCAGACTTCTTTTTGATTCTCATCAGCCTGCATAGCCCTCATGCAGACCGTACACACATATTTTACGCATGACTTCCCAGAACTCACACACTCCCCCCAATCCTGCTGTCAGACCAGCTCAATGTCTCCTTTCATCCCTTCACCTGCAGGTAGCCTCTTAACTTCATATTATATCTCAGTCTTCTCATATGAGACCAAACACTATAGGACCTTACCTGGGGTGAACCCCCCCACCCCCCCTCTTTCCTTTCATACCTGCCAGCCCTGCTGTTTTAAAGGCCCAGTTTCCGCAGGTAAGTGCTGAATCAGGCGGGGGGAACCGTGATTAAGGGTTAAGCAACATGCACAGCAGCTCTTTCATCTTCTGCCACAGTGTGCAATTTTGAAGCTGCAGACACGCGAGGTAGGTACATCGTAAAACGCAGCAACAGCTAACACTGACAATATGTTATTATAATGAACGCGGACACACGCTTCTTTATTAGGCTACTGCACGCTGCACTGAAGATCACTGTGCACATCATGCACTCTGAAACCTGTCCAGAAACTATGCAAATGTTGTACATTTACTCAAGTCCGTACTTAAGTACACTTTTGAAGGACTTGTACTTTACTTGAGTCATTACATTATTACTAGTTTGTACTTCTACCCCACTACAATTCAGAGCTAAATAGTGTATTTTTACTCCACTACATTTATGTAATATCTTTAGTTACTTTGCACATTTGGATTAATGATGTGAAATATAAACAACACTTTAGTCAGACTTTAGTTAAACCTGGAGTAAATTCACAAGCTACCCTGCAGTAAGTCATTCAAACTAGCTTCACCTTTACCAGCTTTGATAAACACATGAATGCATTTATAATTAATTATAATCAAAACGTATCATATATATTATTCTGAAATAGGCCAATCTGCATGAGTATTTTTACTTTTGGTACTTTAAGTTTATTCTGATGCTGATACTTTTGTACTTTTACTTGAGTAACATTTTGATTGCATGATTTTTACATGAGTATTCCTACACTCTGGTACTTCTACTTTTAGTTAAGCACAATATCTTAGTACATCTTCCACCTCTAAATTAGACTACTTTAAAAAGTGTACAAACTTGCAGAAATCTTTGCACCACAAAGTTTTACTAGAACAGTCAGACAGTAATTAGGTAAACTCCATCCAACATATTCCCACTACTGCATCCCTGTGCGTCACTCACCAGATCGCTATGCGCTCCTTCGGGTACTCCAGTCTCTCGATGCAGCCCAGGTAATGTGGCAGGCTGTGCGCCGCGTTGCGAGCCACAATGGCGATCATAACCTTTGGCTTCAGCAGGGAAGACTCGGCTCTGAGCGGCTCCTGCACCACCGTCATCAGCTCGGACACACAGCCGGGCAGCACCGCGACCAGCAGCGCGCACAGCACAGCGACTCCCCCGGCCAAGACCGCCCGCATCTTCGCTTCCAGATTCCTCCGTGAGTCCACCGACCTGGAGCCCTGAGACTGAGAGGGAGAGGAGTGTGAGTGAATGAGGGAGGGAGGGAGTGAGAGCACAGTGGGATGGGGAGAGAGGAATAGGCTGGGTGGAGGGTTTTCTACCTCTTTTACCCCTCATACGCCCACCTTCTCCCCACACCCTGCTGGAGGATACTGCTGCTGCGGTTTGTGGGAAGCTTCGAGCCAACATCTTCCTCCAGCTAATAATAAAATGCGTAAACATGTACTCTCTCATTTACATTTGTCAACAAAATGAGAAGTACACCATGTTCCAGATCATTACCCATGATGCCTGTGTGTGTGTTTCCCCACCTTATTTCTAAGTGTCTTTACCACTTTCCACTGACAGCCTCTGTTGGGATGCTGCAGAGGTGGAGATCATGAAATCACCTGCTCTGAAAACAAACTTCACACACAAAGCTGCACTTTAAGTCTTTGTATAGAAGTTATTCAACAGAATAGTAAGTTGAAACTGTTGGAAAATTACCGTATATATATTTGACAGTATAAAAAGAGGAAAAACTTACCTTAAAACTATTTTCATATCATCTATACATATATAATGTATTCTTAATCACCTTTCAAATAAGTTATAATCAGGTATAAGGTCATCTTAAAGTTTTGATTGATGCAACATATTAAATACCTTGTTATATATCATCATTCAGTTATGGATGCTTCAGAGGACAAGTTTGGTTGTGGGCAACTACATAAATAAAGGGTTTAAACCATTTATTAAATGTGTATACTTCTTATGCCAAATTAGGGGTGGGTTACAGTAAGGTGTTGTAGTGCAAGTGCCATATAACACTAATGGGAGAGTTGCACTTTATACATTTCCACAAAAACAGTTTACACAAGTAGAGCGTTCATCACTGTCCACGGAAAATGATTCAGCTTTTTTTTTTCAGTGCTCATGAAAAGTTGTGCATGCTTTTCACAGGACAGTATCGGTATTATTCTTCTTACTAAAATAAGGTATTTTTTTGTGAGATGCATTTAACTTCATGACATTTTGACTGTTGTTTGAGATGACAGCAAAAAAGGACACCAGCAAATCTTAAATATGGAGAATTACTCTGGATTGCAACTAACCCAAGTGATACAATTCACCTTCCACTTTGCAGATGGAAAATAAGAGGGATTTGTCCAGAAATGTACTGATAACATCAACAGTATCTCCATAAAAACAAACTGTAAATGTAATTGTAGTTTACAATAAACACTGGACAAGCATGGCACAAAAACATAAAATATAGCAGTGCATGGCAGAAGAGCTTTCTCCAAACCAAAACATCATGACATCATTTAACCAAGATGGCACCAAAACACTTTCCAATCCTGTACAGAAAATCTGAAGTTTGTTGTTAAAGTATATAGAAAACTATCCACAAATATATACCTCCAGCCCAACAAATTGGCATCCATGCTCCCAATGCTATCATAGCATTATGCTGTGTGTTCTTATATGATTACCGTAACCCTTTAGTAACCTTTTTAAATTACAGTGCAGTCACAGAACAGACAGATGGGTAAAGCCAGCTTACTTCTGTCACTGTCTCGACTCCGCTCTGTTTATTTAACTAGGATCTCTGCCACTTGGTAATGTTTTCCTTCTTCATTGAGGTAATGAGAGTGCTCTGTGTTCTCTGTTGTTGATGCTCTACTCACTGTGGATGAGAGACAGGCAGAGAGAGTCAGAGTAAACCATCAGCTCCCTCTAGTGTCTTCTGTTCCACCCTGAGCCTGTTTTTCAGGTCTCAGGCTCGAAAATGACATTCCCAGAACAAATGATATCTTCCCTTCTAAAAGGGATAAATTAATAATCTTTTTTCTCAAAGCAAGGTTACATCTGTGAGATGGATGTAGAAGTGTCAGAATCAATATAGATGTTTTTATTTTAAAGTAAATTCAGATTGAACACAGTAAAAAAATGTAAATTATAGTGTCCGTCCAAAAAACTTGTTTTACTTATAGTGAAAACCACCCTTGAATGATGGGATGGTAGACTAAAAGCTTTAGGAATCCAAACTATAACATATAATAAGTACCCTGTATCAAGATTGATGCAAAACAAGTGAAATTTGACCTTTTTAGAGAGGTTTAGCCAAAAGAAACCCACTTCTGGGGTCATTTGGGTGCTTCCTATCTCTGGCCCCCCTTGGTCGATTTTGATGATTGACATCGCTTTTTAACCGCTAGAGCCAATGGAATCGAGGGGAGGTTCCACATACACACACGTTAACAAATAGAGTGGCGAAGTCCCTCCCCTTCCGGTTGAGCTCCATGGGACCTTATTTCTGAAAAGTTATGCATTGAAGTCAATGGAGAGAGAAAGATTATCTTTCGATCCCGTTTGAATTGAGCCACGAATTACACATATGATGTTTGTCAATTTAAAAGAAAATTTTACAAGTAAAAAAAATTAAAATGTGTCGTAAAACTGTGAAGTAACACTTTTTGTGTGAAACCGCTCAATTAACTACATCTTCCGTCTCACACCACACACCAAGACGGCTGTCACGTTGGCACATTTCACTTCTTTCTTTCAGAATGAGGCGAAAAGTATTAGGAGAGGTGAAAATCACTACAAGTCTGGGCATATTGAGAGCTGTACATACACACAAGGGGAGTTAGTCGGTTCCGTAAGAGCCAGCATGCGGGACCGGGATTCTGGGATTTGTAGTCTTTCTAGTTGCGTATTTTTCATAGTCTTATATTTCAACAGTTTTACGACAAACTGTGACTTTTTTGACATGGAAATTATTATTTAAGATTGACAAACATCATATGTGTAATTCGTGGCACAATTCAAACGGGACCGAAAGATAATCTTTCTCTCTCCATTGACTTCAATACATACTTTTTCCGAAATAAGGGCCCATGAGTCCCACCGGAAGGGGAGGGACTTCGCCTCTCTATAAGGAGTGAGAGTGACACGTAGCCAAAACCGGAAGCTGCGATACACTCTGGTGGCTACCATTAGCAGCTAATATTTATTCTCCGATTTTTACATAAAAATTGAATTATGGATTATCAATAATTTGTTCAAAGTGACAGACACATTGGATTAACCTATGGATTAACCCTCAGCAGCGTTTTTATCGTTTTAATGCCATTGAACACGACTTTTGATCAGAATAACAACTAAGGTAAGACGATCTCCCGTGTTTGCTCCGTAATGCTACGTGTTGTGATGTCTGTGTTTGCTTCCCCTGTCGCGAGTTCTGATCGCTCAGTGATGATACTAATACCTATATAATCTGTGGAATCTCAGCTTTAATCGGATATCTTGTATGTGCAGTTACGACAAATAATAAGGGTATCTTTACCTTGAGTTCTGTGCCAAGTGCGTTAGCATTTTTTCGCTCAGGGGTCATTTAGACGCTTCTTATGAGACTTGTTTTGTTTTGGTAAAAATGGTTCGTATCATCAGTTAGCTGAGTTTCTTCCCGTTAATCTGGTATGACACATTAATAGGTTTTTAAATATTAAGAAGCCCTGAGACACAGTTTCGTGAAGAAAACAAAACGCAGCCCCCTCCACTGGGGCTCTCGGGCTAAACAGGTTAAGATGTGTAGAAAAAAACATGAAGGAAGACACCACAAATAGGACATAGGCAAATTGATAACCTGTGTCAGTTTACATGATCTATCCGACAATAAATAAATATAAACATTTAATATAAATCAGAAAGATGCTACATTCTAACATCAGAACAAATAAGAAAGCATTCTTTGTTTCCTATACATTTTTTTTGATCCACTCTTGCTAGTTTTATCTAGTAACTTGTTTATCATTTGCGAATGTAATTTTGCTCATTGGTAATGACCATCTGCAAAAACTGGTCTCAGTAGATGAATGTTATGAAAAATACACAATGTACTAGCAACCCCCCACCTATAGAGCTGTATTGGAATACAAAATATGAATAAAGAAGTAAAAATGGTTGCTATTGTGAGTGAATTATACCTGTAACTTTGGTGACTTAACTATTTATCCCTTCTCGATTACTTGACGTCTCAGGTCGACTCTCCTTCTTGACGTCTTGACCTGAAAACTCACAAAAAACTGACATTTTCAAACCCGCACTCGTGATTTTATTCCTGCACACAGTTGTTTTAAACAAACACTCCACAGCTGACTGTCTGTGTTGTAATTTGCTTATTTGCTTCTCGTTCAAACAGGACTAGAAGTTTAGCTTTCATACTGACATTTAAATAAAATGCATATAAATAAATGACTAATCTAAAACTCAAACTTCACCCCCCGTGTTAGTCACTGCACTTTAAAGGGGACCTATCATGCAAAATGCACTTTTGTACGTCTTTTATATATGAATATGTGTCCCCGGTGTTCCAGGGAACTCACCAAGTGTCAGAAAACACAACCCTCTCTATTTTCCTCCATACCCAAATCTCTTAAAAAGGGACTGCAACGGATCTGATAAAAACTGATCCAGATTTGAACACTTTCCTGACGTCAGGACAGTGGCGCTACGGCTATTGGGCCAACTCCACCAATCAGGAGGAGACAGCCACGGCCATTGCCGTTCGAAAGCGCTGGAGACGCTGTAGTACATATGCCAGGCCTGTAGGTGGTGCTGTTCTCACAGAATCTGCCCTTGCTAAAACAGAGCTAAAAAATGTCAAATTGAGCAAAATGAGGCATGGCTAAAATGCATGATCGGTTTGGTATTTTGAAAAAAAAAAAGTATAAATATGCCTTATATAGGTATGGTCCTACACTATATTATTCAAATATAGCATGATAGGCCCACTTTAAGTTCTCAAAAACAGCCTCACCCTGTTGGCTCAGTGTCAGGCTTCAACACGGTGGCTGTGAACGAAATATTTTCATTCTTATTCAAACGGCTCGAGCACTCCCTCTTCTGTCATAGCAAAACATCTGCTTTGTAATTGTGGTTACGTACTTGACATGCAGCCATTAATGTCTCT